TTTCCCCAGGTTTTTTTTTTTTTTTTTTTTATAGCAGCACTTTCTATTGTTTAATAAATTTTATTAGAATAATTAAAAACACCTGATTTGGTGCAGTTAAATGTTACATGACATCATATAGCTAAAATTAATAAATGCAGAAATGAATATTAAAAAATAAATGCAATGGATAAAAAAAAAAAAACAAATATTAATTTTCTTTTACTTTTTAAAAATATTTCATTATTGCTATTAAATTAGAATATTTTTTATATTTTATAAAAAATATTCTAAATTTCTTAAAGAAATAAATAATTTTATTTATGAGAATAAAGAATATATTTCTACCTGGTTTTGATTAAATAAAAATGATTTTTAAAAAGAAACAGCAGTTTCTGTATTTTGGCAGTTTTTTGGGGCTTTCATATTTAATTAAATTTGAGGCATTTTTGTAAAATTGGGTGTTGTGGTAGCTAACTGTTTGATCTATGAACTTGACCGTTTTCAAATTCAATATACCTTGCTGTGTTCAAAGGTGTTTTTCGCTATATTTTACGAACAGTAAGTAATATTTTTCCAAAATTCTTTTTAAAAATGTTACTAATTTTCTTTGAAACTAAATTCTACTACATATCTTAAAGACATTTTAGAAGTTTTAAATTTTCTTTCATCTTTTGTCAATTAATGAAGGATCGATGATTGATCGTACTAAAAACATTTCTAAAAAAATGTCTTAGATTAATTTTTTAAAGCTACTACTTCATCTTTCAAATAGAACCAAAATTTTACTAAAAAGGAGACCTTTTTTTTACCCCATTTTATTTAAATTACCTCAAACAATATTTTAGCTCAAAAAACTAAAAAGCAATAACATCTCTAAATGAAAGCATTAAAAACTTCATGCTTAAAAAATCTTAAATCAGAGGTTAATACTGCTTGGCTACCTTTTTTTACTGAAAAATTTATATTTTAAAGGGTATGTTCATTCAAAAATAAAAACTCGTTGCAAAAATAAGTAATTGTTTACTTAGAAGTTCGAAGTATACTATTAAATTCCGGTAGTTAAATAAAAATATAATGGTGAACTGGAAAGTCCAAATTTGTGTCATGCTCATTTAGCATTCCCATTTCATTATTATCATTTAATTGTGCTTCGGTTGATAATACATTGTTTTAAGGATTTCAAATGGATTCCAGAAAGCATCTGAGTGATACCAGTGGGAAAATGAAGATACTCAACTCAAGATAATTCGAGGCGTTTTCAACAACGACGTTTTTAAAAAAAAAAAAAAAAAAACTTGAACTAACTAACTTAACCACCAATCTAGAAGCAAACTCTAATTATAAAAAAAGTTCTGATACAAAGAGAAAAATATTTTTTGACGAAACTAAATAAAAATCTTTCGTTTTAAAAAAAAAAAATTTTGAACTAACTAAAAATGTACATTGTACAAGAGAAAATTTTACCAATCTTTAAGCTTATCTTTTAAAAAAATAAAGAAAGTTTTGAAAAATTAATGTTTCAAATTTTGTAATTATGTCGTACGTATTATTATGTTATTTTTCTATATCGAAGTTTAAAATCAATTTTTACAACGAAAAAACATTCTTGAAGATTTCATTTTAGCTTTAATCGAAAGTTTAATAATTAAATGTAATTAATTAAACAATTCTTTTCAGATAGAAACTATATACGTTTGATTGTCAAAAAAACGGCCATTTTCTTAAAAAGAAATTTGTAAACAAACACAAATTTATATTTTTAAAATATTTAAAAAATTCTGACACGTTATTTTAGTAAAAAAAAAAATTTAAAGTTAAAGTAATCTGATTTCAAAAGAAATCTTTGTTACTTATAGCATAAAAAATAATATACAAATCAATTATTAACGAGTCCCGTCAGTTGTTCGATCTTACTGATAATGATTGATTGACGATATGACAGCTACTACTGATGAAAAATGACATAATTTTTAAGTCTGAGTTTTTTAAAAAAATTATTCTATTTGAGTATGACACACACTAAAATGGAAATATTAAAATAAAATTATTTAGTGTAAATGAAAAAAAAAAAATAATTTAAAATTTAAATTTAAACTACAATCTGTTAATAAACGAAATGTTTTGAAAGGACAAAACCCTTAGATCACGTGACCTTTTAAAAAAATAAAGAAGGAATGTATTAAGTAAAAAATTAAAAATTATTTTTAAAAAAAGAAAAAAATTTATTAAACTTAGCAATTTTGGATTCGTAAATTTTTTTCTACTTAATTAGTACATAATATCGAGGAACCCTCCTAATACAGAGCTTTACACGATTTAAAACTATTATAAATTATTATAATTAAAATTTCTTAAAAAGGAAAAAATTCTTGTTTAATTATTCATCAGAAAAATTATTTCTTCAGACAATAATGTCCTTATTATTATTTTACAAAAGCAATTAAAAGCTTTTCTAATTAAAAGACATTATTTTTCAATTCAGCAGATTTTCAGTTAAATAAAATTTGTGAAAGAAAAGTAGATTATTTACCATCTTCCTTTTTTAACAAAAAAAAATTCAGGAACCAAAAAGGTTTTGGGCATTAAATTAAGGTTTATTTTAAAAAATATAATTTTTACCAAAATTTTCAAAAAAATATTTCAAAAAATAATTTCATTCATTTGTGAATAAGTCCTGAAAATTTCAATTGACAATTTTTATTTTTACAAGAATTTCCAAAAATATAACGGTAAAAAAAGAAAAAAAAAAAACTAAAAAACGTCGCCGCGATGACGTAAACAAAGACGAAACCAAAATTTCGAACGTGGAAAAAAAAAATTTCAAAAAAAAATAATTAAAAATACTTTTTTTTCTTTCATTGAGACGATAATACTTTATTTTCTTTTAAGTTTGTGGCATTTTTTTCATTTACGCTATGCTGTTTTTCCGCGAAAACAGTGGATGCTTATAAAATTACTTCATCATACTAAAAGACAAAATAAAAAAAACACTCAAATTGACCAATTTGTATTTATTTAAAAATTAAGTAAAAATAGAAGCAAAAGCGTACAAAAGGAAAATGTAATTGTGGAAAAAAAATATTGAGAAAATGTATGCGAGCTGGCATTAAAAAAAAACAAAAAAAACTCAAAGCCGGTATCATTGTCCTAGCAATGTTGAGTTGTTGACTCAGTCAGTGGTGATGATCATGAAATTGAAATTTCAGATATTTATTTATTTTTTCTAACTTTTACACCAATCAATTTTGAGAATAATTTTAGACAAAGATAAACTTTGATTTGTTGAAAAAGAAAAAAAAAATACAAATTTTGTCGTCTTTTTTTTCTTTTTGACACAAAAATGGACACCGAAATTAAATTTTTTAAAAAGCTGATTTTTCCTTTCCAAGTCGTATTCTTGCAAGATACTCTGAACAGATATTTAAAACTACAAAAAAAAAAAAAAAAAAAAACAATGAAAAATAAAAATTAATGATGCCCATCTTAAACTTGTTTAATTTTTAAAGTAGCTAACTTAAAAAAAAAGAAAATAATTTAATTTTAAGTCGTTTCAAAACATGCAAGCGAATAAAAATATCGAAATTAAATCTAATGTACACAAAGTTCAAGATGCTTGAAAAAAAATCATTGATTTGACAAAACTGTCTTTCAAGGCAAACTTAAAAACCAAAACGTAAAAGAAAAGTATCAACAAGCACAGACACTAGACAGATTAATTTTAAAAACTAAAAAATAAGACTAATTTGTAATAGAATTTGTAATCTGATATCATTCATTGACTTAGTTTTAAAAAAAGCATCACTAGGATAAAAAAAGTAAAACGTTTATTCATTTTTAATGTTAAAAACATTAATGAAATTAAATAATACACTGGTCTTACTTAATAATGTTACCCCCCCCCCGCAAAAAAGGATTAAACACTAAAAATAAAATACTTAAATTAACAATTACTTAAAATGATCAAATTCAAATAAAAAGAGTAAGACTTCGTTTCAAATTTAAAAAAAAACATAAGAGAGGTAATATATTTTAAAGCCATTAAACAACTGCTCAAACAATTTCTTATCTAGTTAGCTATCCTTTTCAGTTCTAAATAAATTCTGATCGATGTTACTTAAAAAATAAAAAAAAAACAGCCTAAAAGAAAAACCAAACAAAAAAAAAAAAAAACGAAATCCCTTTAAACTGCAGTAACAAATCGAAAACCCAATTGACCCATTTTGTTAACTATGGAGGGACATTTGGGCTACAATAAAGTGCACTAGCTTGTTGAACTTGCTTAACGTTTAAGTCGTGAAGAGGACGAAAGAAAAATTTGATATTAATTTTTCGTGCGTGTCCAAATTTTTCACATTTAACGTTAGAAAGCAGTTTCTTTAAAAATGATTGCTATTGTTATACGAATGTCTGCCTGGACATCCGTAACATCGAGCAAGAGATCAATCAAAACTCTTAAGCTGGTGTACCCTAAGGAGGAGGAAAGCTTTACTACTATAATTCTGGGGTGTGGTCTTTATCTTATTTTATTTACTTATTTTTTAGGGCTTGTAATAAGATTCATGAAGATTTGTCAACTATAGCAATACAAACATTAAGAAAAATTACGATAAAAATGGGTTTTAAAAAGGCTTATGTTCCGGTCTTGTTTCTTTAAAAACACGGACAAATATTCAAATACGGCTTTTCGTTCAGCAGGCTATGTCCAAGAAATGCCAACACAAAACCTCAGATTAGTAATGGACACTGTAAAATTGCCTTTAATAAATATCATAGGCCTTTTAAATTCGAGCTATAATCGTTCTCTTTTCATATTTATATAAAAACAAAATTATTTTATTTTAACAAGATCCAGCCGGCGACATCTCTCTCCCTTTAGTTTTCTTTTTCAAAGGTAACACAGCAAGAAAACTACACAAACCACTATTTTTAATACGGATTTTTTTTTTTAGAATCCATAAATTATTAAGTTATCATCAAGACGGCAATAAATGATTCCGCCTTACTAGTTAGTTACTTACCATGTCAGTCTTGACTATAGAAATATTATCCCCGTCTCGTCAAATAAATCCTGAAAACGTCTCCACTGCAAAGTTTACGACCCAAGACTGTCATCTTACGCCACTAAGGCGGAAGGCGCTATTGCGCATGTCAATATCAACACGGAAGTATCCAACTGGTGCATTGGCTAACGTTTGTAACCTTCACAGTACGGAAGCTGCTACGAAATTACGCTTAAAACTTATTGTACAATAACTGTTCAAATAGATGTTACGAAGAAATTATATTTACCTGAATTCTTATTGGCATATTTTATCTCTAAAACAAATATGGCTCATGCTTTGGAGTTGTTATGAAATATGACTCAATCGTTTTATGAAAGTTTTATCGTTTATGATACGAGTAGTAATCCGTATTTTCGCATTGCAATTTCGCCGTTAAGCTTCACTATATACACTCACACTTGTTCGATCGACCCTCTTATATAAACTTCCTGTGCCTTTCGAAGTAAGAGATGAAACGGTATTGATTCTTAAATACCTTTCATCTCTCTACGTAACAAATTAGTTTTTTTTAAATGATTGTTTCTTTAACATAAAAAGACTAAACGGCATTTATTTATTAAATCACAATTTATTTTAAACTTAAGCAAGATTTCTTAAAATTTAAAAACAATGTCATGAAATCCAGCATTTAAAGTAGAGTAAAATAAAATCAAATCGTTAACTCTTAAAGTAGAATCCATAGAATAATTTCCAGCTAAAATAATGATAAAAAATAACAATTGCACTCATTAACAGTAATTTTAACTGATAGAGCAGTGTGAACTGAATGCTGAAAGTGAAAGGTTTACATTTTCTTACTCAACTGCCTGATATTCCAAGCTTAATACTAAAAACAAAACAACTATGACATAGTAGTTTATTTTAAATCTAAATTAAATTAAAATGTCTCAATCCTTTGTAAGAAATTCACAGGTGGAGAAACTGTCAGTTGTTTGACACCCAAATAAAAGCTTTGTTTCTTACAATATATACCGAAATTATGTTTCTTTTATTATAGCTTTGTCAATAAAACTTGTAACTAATTCAAACAACAGCAATAATATAATAATTAAAAATAACCAGTAGTTATATTTCTTTGAGCATCTCCAATGATAAATCAACAGTTTATTATAAGTTATGTTTTTAATCACCACTATTGTTTATTTGGAGTAATGGATAGCGGTTCAGATTGAAGAATCGGAGAGCTGAGTTTGAATTCTAGTTGAATCTATTACATTCACTTACGTACTAATACCCTTGGGAAAGGTATGAATCTTCTCCCCACATCTATGAGTAAATAGCAAGACAGACTGGGTTCTATAGCCTTAGATGGCAACTGGTCTACTGCAGAAAGAAATGGCAACCTACTGCAGGAAAAAATCTGCCTCGTCAGTCATGTATCGAAAGATACATGATTGCTTAAGCATGTATCATGCATGGCACATAACTGACTGTTTATTTCATGCATGTTCATAACATATATCTGGGTGTTGTTGCTATGGATTGAGTGACAGCACTCAGCACCTTCCTTAGTGTAGTATGTGATTCACCTTAGATGATGCCAAAACAGATTTTGCTCTCAGTGTCCAGAGAAGTGTTACACTCCATTGCAATTAGATCTCATTCTGATTCATTCTGCACACTGGCTGGATGTGAATGCCTCGAAAACAGAGGATGAAATAATAAATGACATCTTCTGCGCATTAGGCTCCATGCACCACATCCAGTCTACAAAGTGAACTCCAGCAGTGGCCAGTCATGAATGTTCCTGCTGGTAAAAGAAATGCCCCTTGGGACTACCAGACATGCTTAAAAGTAGGCTCTGAGGACAACAAAACACAGTTGCAGCCCAGCACATCTGCTGATTGTCACACAGGGCGCTGCTGCTGCGACCGCCGCCATGACATCGTCACCATGACAACAGAATTGTGGACCAGCAGCCACACAAAACACTACTACTGCCACCATCATCACCTTCACCACCACATGACTGCACATCTCAATGACCATTACCATTTCCTGGCTTGGCCTACCACCCCAGCCTCTCAACACCTGCCGTCACCTTGGCCTACTTTGACTCATTTACAAGGCATTACCTTCACAGTCGACCCCAGTGACATCCACTCCACAGAACAGCTCTGCCTCAACTTGTTTTCAGGGCATTCCCTTTTCAGTTGACACAGCAACCTCTGTTCCACAGAACAGCTCTGCCTCAACTCATTTACAAAGCATTCCCTTCGCAGTCAGCCCCAGTGACCTCCATTCCACAGAACTGGCCTCCCAACACCCGCTATCACCTCGGCCTACCTCGACTTTGCAAGGCATTCACTTTGCAGTCGACCCCAGCGACATCCACTCTACAGAACAGGGCTACCAAGACCACATCAATCCAATGTCACAGCGTTCCAACACAACAGGTCAACCAACTGATAAGACAACCTACAACTGTGACCGCCATCAACCAACATGTACCAAACATATCCTGTGAGCTTGGCCACACCAGCATAAGAAATGGTTCAAATTCCAACACTACACTTACACCAGATCACCATTCCTGTACTCTTTACCAACAATAAACATTGTTTCACTCTAATCCCTGTTATTTGTTTCTCTCACTACCATACGCTTAATATAACAGAAGTAAGGTGCATCTTTGGATTGACCTGTGTGATGTCTTCCTAGCCGCCAGGTGCAGATCTCTGCCTTCACTAGATGTCAGTGGCTGCCTTAAATATGTAGGCATGCACCTAGAATGTGCACAAGTGGACAAACCAGATGATAGTTAGATATGTAAGCACCCACCCAAGTGAGAAGAAGGGAGTCTCTTAGATAAAAGCAAGAATGAAGAATCTACATTGAGAAAAAAACACTTACCAACTCTAACCCAGAAAATCCAGAGCTAAATGAACAATGTGATGTTACATATAAGAGATTTAGTCTTATATTCTCATTAGTCGATATTAGCATAACACTTAGTATTTTCCTAGATTCCAGTCCTGCTCTTGTATGGACAGACTCAATCCCTCTGCAAATCTTGAACTTCTAATCTTTTGGGTAGAGTTGAAGATATGCCAGTTATTATCACTACGGCTCTATCTTTCAAGTTCCACAGATTTTAAAGCTCCCAAGCAAGGTCCTGGTAGTTTTTTCATTTACTATTTGTCTTCACCTTGCCTGCTGGCACAGTCATGGCCATAATCTGGTAGACACATTAGTTCTCTATCTCTATCTTCTCAGCTTAAAAAATCTGTGACTGCTTTGAATGACTGCTGAGACCATCTTTGTCAGAATCTGTTTAAAGTTGACTGGCCTGTTACCATATGGCAATAATAGTAATTAAAATAAATACTAGTGGTGGGCACAACCTCAGTAACATAAGATATGCACATGATACCATATTTATGTCAGATAAAAAAAGAAAACTGCAAGTACTTCTAGACAAAGTAATAAAGGAAAGCCTGGAGAAAGGACTAACCATCAAGAAGACAAATTGTATGGTCATCAGCAAGAGAGGTAGCTCAAGATACAAGTTACAAATTGGAAGCATCAAATTCATACATGGAAATTTAACTATCTGGGAAGTTATAACAAGAATGAAACAAATTCAAAGACACGTTGGAATAGTGAACGATTCCTTCAAAAGCTAAAATATATTAGGAAACAGGAAATTTTTGTTGTAAGCAAAGATAAGAGTGCTCAACTGTTATGTAATATCACTCATTCTATATGGCAGTGAATGCTGGGCAATTTCCTCACAGATGAAGAAGAGATTTAAGGTATCAGAGATGTTGTTCTACAGAGGAACACTGAGAAAGTTTTAAGAAAAATGGGACCAAAAAAAACTTTAGCTTAAGGTCAGAAAGGGACAATTGAAATTTCTGGGATACATAATGAATAAAGAGGGCTTGGAGAATTTAACACTCACAGGACATTGAAGGTAAAGGTTTTGCAGAAAATTGAAATGAAAAGGACATTTATACTTAGCATCAGAAAAAGATACATGAAATTTCTAGGGTACTTAAGGAGAAAAGAGGGGTTTGAGAAATTTGACACTCACAGGACATATTGAAGGTAAATGGGGCGTAGAGAAGTAGTGAGGAATATACCTATTGAGCTTGTGTAAATGGATGGCAGAATATGAACAAGGAGGGATCATAAGGGGACAAACACTGTTTAGTGCTACAAGGGATAAGATGTGATGGAGAGTCATGACTACCTATGTCTTGAAAGGACACAGCATATCAAAGAAAATCAACTGCTCCCTTTATTGATTCTTATGTCATAATTTGTATCTCTAGCAATGAGCTAACAAGTGTCATTTGTTCCATTCAGTTAGATATTTAAACTGCATTATTTGCACAATTTATATTCAGACTATTGTCCTCATCTTTGTTGTTGCTATCACAATTTTTTAACCATTGTGCTCTCCAGCCTTCCTCAGGTGTATATTGCTTTGAATAATCTACCGGGAATTCTGAACTGACCTCTTTATTTAATCTATGGGGATAGACTGCTCTCATTCCACTGCTCATGTCTAGGGATATTGTTTATTTCTTATAGTCTATAATGCAGAAAACGGCAAATTACCTTGTCAAACCAAGCGACAGTGTGTTGCATGTATCCCATGATGGAAAATGCAGCAAAAAAGAAAGTTACTTGCCAAAAAAATGGGCACGTTTTCTGCATGATATGCTGAAAACGGTATATTCAAATTAGAAACAAGTCAGTCGCAGGAGTCGCCATAAAAGCATTTTGATATGTTAATAAGAATAAAAAAGTAAAAAGAAAAGAAAGACCAAACAAATAAGTTATTTTATAGAAGTTAAAAGGGGAGGTAGAGAAAGAACAAGTCGCAAGACGAGCCAATATAATAAATCGTTTTTTTTTTTTTTTTTTGTTTGTATATATATGTGTGTGTGTTTGTATATATATATATATATATGTGTATATTTATTGGTTTGTTTTCTTCTATTCTTCCA